AAAACACTGCATCACCCTGTTTCACTCTTTATCCAATCCATGGGGTGCCAAGAGATGCTCCCTCCACCCCCAGCTCCTCGCTGATCCCAGGGTAAGGCATTACAGGGAGACCTTGAGCCTCTTGTCACCCCAAGACGGAGAAACATTTGCTCCAGCCAAGTCCCTGTTGCCCATCCTGCTTGTGCACACTCTCAGAGGCCAAGTTGTCCTTGGCAGCAGTGGAAGGACTCATGGAAAAGCAGCCCTGGGAGCAATGCCAAGGCTGCAGGCTGGTACAGGCAACCTCCCCATGGTGACCCGAGTGGGGCTGCTCGAGCACTAACGCACTCGTGGCACTGTTGGCAGGAGCATGACGTGCTGTGGGTGAAAGGCAGCTGGCACAGGTTTAGAATTCCTCCTGACAAGCCCATTTGGCCTGTTTGCAGGTGACCAGTGGGTCTGAGCCAACAGCAACGTCGGAATTTATAAAGTTAATAAAGTTTATGCAACACTCCCCACGCCTGGGCAGCGTCCGTGCTGTGCGGAGCAGCAGGAACAAGTCTGGCTGTTAATTGAGCAAGTCTCCATGCATGAGGGGCCTGCAAAGGGGAGGCAGGAATGTGGATTGGGGGTGGGATGAATCTTGCTCTGTTCCTGCTTCCTCTGGAGCCTGAGTGAGGGTGAGGCAGTTGTTGAGCAGTACCCTGGGAAGAAGGCAGCTCCTGGTTAGAGTGTTCCAGCTGGAAAAAGCAACAGGCTGGGTTTCGACACAGCTGAAAGAGAAAACCCTTATCTTGCACAAGAATTTCCCAGCCTGATCAAACACCTGAGCAGAGAGTACACCTATGCACAGCCCAGGTCCTCTCCTGCAAGAAACTAAAGACCAAAGCTGTGTCTGGCAGGTGAGGGGTTCATGGCACACTAAGGAAGGGCAGGGCCACGTGTGGCTGCTGCGGCACAGAATCACAGAATGGTTTGGGTTGGAAGGGACCTTCAAGATCATCCTGTTCCAACCCTCCTGCCCTGGGCAGGGACACCCTCCCCTCACTAGACCAGGTTGCTCAAACAGCGATGAAGACCTTAAATTTGCAGGTCTGGCTGCCACCAGATGGAGCTCAAAAGTAAGCAGGAGGAGAAGGATGTGCGTGGGGTGATGGGGCAGTGGGGCTGGTATGGGGCAGTGGGGTGAGAGGGCTGGTGTGGAGAGCAGCAGTCCTGGTGGGGCCCCTGGAGAAGCCAGGCAGCCCTCCAGCCTGCACCAGCCCATCAGACACGTGGCCCCAAAACCAGCTCACTCAGCTGTGCAGTGACCTGATGGGGATGTGGAGGGGACACATGGGGTCATGGTGATATGGCACTGCTTTTCCTTCCTCCTCCTCCTCTCTTGCACTAGAAGCTGATCTGCTGCCTGGGTTTGCCCTCCACCACAGTCTGATGGGTTTTGGCATTTCTCCGAGTCATTACTTGCTTTCTAAAAGTAGACAGAGTTGCAGGGCAGAGGGAGGTGTGGGGTCGGGAGTCCAGATTTTCCCATCTGCTACCAGGATCTCATCCTGGGCTGGGGACCACAGCTCCCCCCAGAACTCAACAAGGCTTTCCTTAGATCCAGCCCACAACAGCAGGGATGCTGTGGGCCCAGTCCTTCCCAAACCCCTCCAGAGCAGGCATTGCAAATCCTGTTGTTACAGGCATTCTCTTGCTCTGTTTGCAGTCTGGCATGTGCCCCGTTTGTGGATTTCAAGGGCTGGAGCCTTGACCTAGTGGCATTTGGAAACAGCGTCAGGCTAATGCAATGTATTTGCACTGCACATCTCATTTCTATTTTTAAGGTCCTACACTGGCCTTTGAAGGTGAGGGGGAAGCAAAGCTGCTGGAGGGAAAAAAAACAATCACCCCAAGCAGCAAGAGATAGGGAATGAGAAGAAATATTTCTCACCAGAGGTGGTGGGGTGGCATGAGGGCTGCCGCAAGGGACGAGAGCAAGCAGAAAGCAGCGAGAGTTTTTAACCAAATCTGTGAGTTAATCAAGACACCAGCAGGGAGCAGAGAGGAAGCATCAGTCCTTGTGGAGTTGGTGCCATGGGAGGTGGGTTCTTGCCCCTCTGATAGCAAGCCCTATGGAAAGGCTTAGGGAAAGGTATAGTGTATGAGAATCTCCTTTATTGTCTTGCTTCTACTGCCCAATGAGCCCCTTACTATCCCTCCACAGCGAGCAGCACGATGACAGAAGACATCAGCTGGAATCATAGAATCCCTTGGGTTGGAAAAGCCCTCCAAGATCATCAAGTCCAAACATTCCCCCAGCACTGCCAAGCCCACCACTAAACCATATCCCCACATGCCACATCTACAGGTCTGTTCAACCCCTCCAGGGATGGTGACTCCACTGCCCTGGGCAGCCTGTTCCCATGCTTGGTAACTTTGTGAGGAAATTTCTCCTGCTATCCAATTCAAACCTCCCTGACACAATTTGAGGCCATTTCACAGAATCATGCAGTGAGAACTTTCTCCCATTTTATCACTTGTTACTTGGGAAAAAGAGACCAACACCCACAGCAGTGGAGATGGAAACAGAACAAAAATAAACATGCTTGGCTGTCAGATGTTTTTCCTAAATATGTCTGAGTGATGCAAAGGGACAAGAAAGGCCCAAGTAACCAAGACAAGACAAAAGCTTTGCTCTTTGCAATGCCATGTAGCTGTCTGGGAACATATCTCAGGGAGGTTGGGCTCTTGAGTTTTTTACCCCCAGCAGAGCAGGATCCTGAGTCTGTCACATTTTAGATTCAGAAAAATCCCCTTTAAATCAGCAGGGTTTTTCCAGGCAGTTTTGCTCCACTGCACAGGGAGCCATGGGCATAAGGGCAGCCACTGATGAGTGCTGCAGTCACTGCTGCATCATCCAACCCACCGTGCAGGGTATGAGTTTAACCTCCATCCAGCACCCAAAACCAGGATGGAGAATGTGGTGGTGACATTGCAAAGCAGCTCCCTTAGAGCTGGATCAGGCTGGGGAATGTGCCCAGCTGAAAACCAGCCATGCAGGACTGGTGCCTTTGTTCTGCCACTGCCTCTCCCGGGGGTGACTACGGATAGTTGCTGTGTTTGACCCTGAAAGATCACGAGACCAAGAAGCAAATACAGCAATATTGACTTTACCTTGGCGAGTCCACACTGCAATTCACAGACTCTGAGGCTGCACACTTGGAAAAAAAATATTTGCCTCTCTAAAATATGGGTCTTCTGCTAGGAACCAGCAGTAGAGCAGACCTCACTGCTGCCCTGAGGCATCCTAGGGGTGAGCAGCACCCAAAGGGGTTTCCCAGGTGTGGGAATACTCTGGAGGAGTGCCACAGCTACACTTCCCAGCCCATTAGCGAGCCAGCACACCTCGTCTTACTCAGAAAGGATTTATTTTTGCTTTACTTTCCTGTGTTTTGTGATGTTTAAAGGCTGACACATACCTTCTGTGATACACAGTCCCCTGCACGTGGGTGCAGCCCCCAAGGCAGTGCCCAGAAACAGCAGTTTGCTCCCCAGCTGGAAGTCACATCAGGTCAGTCATGGGGTGATGTGCTGCTGTGGACATGCAGGTCACCCACAGGGTGCTGGCAGCTTTCGGAGTCCAAAATGTGTAACCTAGGCTGCTGGGACCCCTCCAAAACTATTCCCTTTGAAGGCACATACTTACACAGGGGGAACAGAGGACCCAGTGCTGCCTAGCCCCTGCTAGAGACAGGGGACACAGACCCTCTGCCCTCAGGACAAGGACTGGTGCCTCGAGAAACAGAGCTCAGGGAAAAGCTTACTCAACACTTTTCCCTGCCAGAAACGAGGAGCTAAGCTGGAAGTGGCCCTGAATGCCCCTGCAGCACAGACAGAAAGCAGAGCACCCACCTCCCCCCAGCTGCTCCCTGTCCTTTGCCCTGCCTGCACAGGACACTGGAGGAGCAAAGTCACAGCTCAGGGATCCCATGGCCCCAGCTGCCATCAGGGCTGCAGCACCTGGTGCACACAGGGACAGTCAAACTTCATGCTATAGCTGGAAGCAAAGCAGGGAGATTTGGCACCTTTGAGTCAACTGCTGCCAGGGTTTTGTTTGCCTCCAGCAGGAACAGAGGTACTCCCTTCATGCAGACACCTGCAGGCTCTTGTTTTCCCAGCTACCAGGCTGATCAAAGAAGGGCCAAGCAGGCAAATTAACTGATTCAAAGCAAAAATAAGCCAGAACAGCACTCAGGGCAATACAGCCCATAGGCCAGCTGGTCTCCAGGTCTGCCAAACCCAGCACAGCCCCTGAGATGTCATCCACACCAGGAGCTCCAGCCTGACACTAAGCCCCACAACGTGCACACACTAAGCAAGCCTCACCTCTCCCCTCATTATGAGGGGCTCACTCTGCACCAAATACTTTCCCCAGCCCCAACCAGACCTGCTCGGGCCCTGACACTCACTTCTACCCCGCAAGGCACTGGAACAGGGCAGGGCAGCAACATGCTTGAGGAGCAAAACAAGTTCAGTGCCAGCAGGGACAGGCTGTGCAGCCAAGTAAGGAGGAATGGGTGGGGGAAGGAGTTTGCAGCATCACCACAGCCCAGCCAGATCCTGCTCACAGGCAGAACAGAGACCAGTGAGTCACACTGGCACGTGCCATCCGGCAGCACCAGATCCTGCTGCTGCGGTCAGAAGCTGCACCACATCCCCATCCAGCACCACCAACACTCCCACCACAGCTCTTTCCTTCCCCCCTACAGACGAAGAACAACCTGCAGCATTTTAAAAGGCTGCTCAAGTTTATTAGTTGCCATTGCACAAAGTTTAAGGGTAATAAAACGTGTTACCAAGTCTGCTTAGAAAGGGCTTAGGTACACTGGGAA